AGCATGGTGACTATAGTTAATAACACTGTATTGCATACTTGAAAGTTGCTAAGAGGGTAAATCGTAAAAGTTCTCATCACAAGAAAAAAAATTTGTAACTGTGTGTGAATGTCAACTAGACTTATTGTGGTGATCAGTCTGTAATATAGACAAATATCGAATCATTATGTTGTACACCTGAAACTAATATACTGTTATATGTCAATTATATCTCAAAAAGACATTATTTCAAAACAAAAGAGTTAACAATCATAAAAATGTAAACTAATTAAAATGAATACTTGAAATATGCACAGAATTCCCAGAGACTAAAGACACTATCCTAAAAAACATTATAAAGGACTCTATATAGTTTGTTAATTCATTACATCAAACACACAACTTGCCAGTTTAAAGTAGATATTTTATTTTTAGATGTTATATTTGAAATCTTTTCTCACTCAAATTCTAAAGAATAGAAACATTTGCATTGGAATGTAAGCTCCAGGAGGACAGGGAATTGTGTTTGATTCATTGCTGTAACCTCAGCACCTAGAACAGTGCCTGAGGCACAACAGAAACTCAGATACCTCAAATACCTGTCAAACTCAAACCTGCTTCCCACCACATCCTATGCCTTCTAGTAAAATGCTAGCTTTTGAATACCAATGAAATAATTCACAACCTGGGAAACTAATCACTCTAACACTTACAGTTCTTTGTCTTGAAATATTAAACAAAAACTATTTACCTGTTTTTAGATATTCATATTTTCTTTTTCTAATTTAAAAGTGTTTCAGGGGCCGGCCCTGCTGCCTAGTGGTTAAGTTTGGTGTGCTCTGCTTCGGCGGCCCGGGTTTGGTTTCCAGGCGCAGACCTACACCACTTGTCGGCAGCCATGCTATAGCGGCAACCCACATACAAAGTAGAGGAAAATTGGCACAGATGTTAGCTCAGGGAAAATCTTCCTCAAGCAAAAAGAAGATTGGCAACAGATGTTAGCTCAGGGCGACTCTTCCTCAGCAAAAAAAAAAAAAAGTGTTTCATTCTTTTTCTATCTAGTACTAGAATCTTTATCTTAAAATAAATCAGCACATGAAGATAAATACTCTAAAAAGAGACCAAGAGGTCTTTTAAAATTGGCTATTATGATGCATTAAAATATAATTCAAGATAGCAAATAAGCATATGGAAAGATGCTCAACATCATACGTCATGAGGGAATTGCAAATTAAAACAACAATGAGATACCACTACATATCTATTAGAATGGCCAAAATCTAGAACACTGACAAAACCAAACACTGGTGAGGATGTGGAGCAACAGGAACTCTCATTCATTGCTGGGGGATCTGCAAAATGGTACAGCCACTTTGGAAGACAGTTGGGCAGTTTCCTACAAAACTAAACATACTCTTACCATATGATCCAGCAATCACACTCCTTGATATTTACCCAAAGGAGCTGAAAACTTAAGTGCACACGAATGTTTATAGCAACTTTATCTATAATTGCCGAGACTTGAAAGCAACCAAGATGTCCTTCAGTTGGTGTATGGATAAACTATGGTACATGCAGACAACGGAATATTATTCAGCATTAAAAAGAAATGAGCCATCAAGCTATGAAAAGACATGGAGGAATCTTAAATGCATATTACTAAATGAAAGAAGCCAATCTGAAAAGATTACACACTGTATGATTCCAACTATATGACATTCTGAAAAAGGCAAAACTATGGACAGAGCAAAAAGATCAGTGTTTACGAGGGGTTGGGGATAAGAAGAAGGGATGATTAAGTGGAGCACAGAGGATTTTTAGGCAGTGAAAATACTCTGTATGATATTATAATGATGGATACATGTCATTATACATTTGTCCAAACCCACAGAATGTACAACACCAAGAGTGAGCCGTAATGCAAACTATGAACTGTGGGTGATTATGATGTGCCAGTGTAGGTTCATCCATTGTAACAAATGTACCACTCCGATGTTGATCACGGAGGAGGCTGTGCATGTGGGGGGGCCAGAGGGTATATGGGAACTCTCTGTACCTTCCCCTCAATTTTGCTGTGAACCTAAAACTGCTCTGAAAAAATAAAGTCTATTAAAATATATTTGTTGGGGCGGGCCCCGTGGCTTAGCAGTTAAGTGCATGCGCTCCGCTGCTGTCGGCCCGGGTTCGGATCCCGGGCGCGCACCGACACACCGCTTCTCCGGCCATGCTGAGGCCGCGTCCCACGTACAGCAACTAGAAGGATGTGCAGCTATGACATACA